TCCAGTCATAGGGGGGTTTCTACGTATACTTCGTCGAGGATATATAGAGTCATTTAATTTTCAACCAATCAATAATATATAGAGCAAAGAAACTCCCTTAAGTAAGGAGGGGTGATCTGAGACCACAACATACGGGCAACAGTGCAATCACGAAGGATATGTAGAGTAGTCTCTTCACCACACTCGCACACCGGACAAGAAGGATCCGCCGTAAGCCCACGCCAAGCTCTTTCCACTTTGGTCATAAGACGATTTCTGATGGTCAACCAAATGAAATTTCTAACACGTTGGGGGCCATCGAAGTTCCCAAGTCAACTCTCAAATTTGGTTCCTTTCCTCCCAACTCTCGTAGCGTAAAGCATGATAAGCAGACTTGACCGTATAGACACCTGTATGTTTCCGACACCAGGTAGGGAGGTCGGGACCGGCCTCAGGGTAAGGAGGAGGGATGGACATGATCTTGCGGAAAAGGTTCTTGTCAACCCAATTCCTTAACTTGATTGTATCCCAACTTCCAAAAAGTATCGTGAGGTCACTAAGGGTGCAATTAGGAAAGCGGGATGAGTCAGAAGGGATCCTATCAACCAACAGGTACATCCCGGGGATCTAAGCATCGATCCAAAAATTAATGCGGTTCCGTCACCAATTGACCAACAAACGTTACCTTTGATAAAATCCCAAACTTTGGAAAGGGATCTCTAAATGAAAGAGCAATTTTTGGCTTCAATGTTGTCGAGAAGCATATCCTTGAGTTTGTATTTGGAGCGAAAATTTTGGACTCAAAAGGTGTTGGGTTGCATGATGAGATAGTAGCCTAGCTTGATTAGGAAAGCCTCATTTTGGTGACGGAGAGACAGAAGACCAAGGCCTCCATGGGACGGCGGCTGGCAACAGAAGGCCCAACTAATAAGAGGCGACTTACGGGAGTTGGAGGAGCCCCCAAATGAAACTACGAGCAATGGCTTCAATTTGCTGACAGACCCCATAAGGGATCGCCACCGTTTGCATGAAATAGTTTAGGTTGCCAAAAGGGTTGACGTAGCAAGGGTCACGCGACCGGCGAAGGATAATTTCGAAGTAGTCCAGTTTTTGAGTTTCCCACGGATTTTATCGATGATGAATTGGAAAGTACTATTGGTAACCTTATTATTGAATAAGGGCATACCCAGATATTTCCCCAGATCAATGGAGTGTTGAAAACCCAAGGAGGAGCAAAAGTTACTAGCCACACCCGTCTTGATGTTGGCAGAGAAGAAAACAATGGTCTTATTGGAGTTAACCCTATGGCCAGAGAACTTACTAAATTAATCAAGGATTTTCCTAACGAGGATCGCTTGGTTGGTGGAGGCCTTACACAATAATAAGAGATCATCCGTAAAAAATAAGTTGGATAAAGGGGACCGCCAAGCGTAAGGACCATGAGTTCCCAAAGCCACAATTTAAAGCACAATGGATGTTATGGCCCAGTCGCTCCATGTAGAGAACAAAAGGAAGGGAGATAGCGGATAACCTTGGCGGATTCCCTTAGTGGGTTTAAACTCTTCCGAGAGAGAACCATTCCAAAGAAATTGTATATTGAAATAAGAGACCGAGTCCATAATGATATGATGGATTCGAGTGGGGCACTCCACGAGAGAATCAGATAGGAAGTCCCACTCAACACGGTTGTAAGTTTTTTCAAGGTCAACCTTCACAGCCAGCTAGTATGATTCCCCTTTTTGATTCTCATAGAATGGACCACTTCTTGGGCGACGAGGATATTATCTGTTATATTACGACCAGCAACAAAACTCGCCTGTTTAGGAACAATGAGTTTAAGGAGAATGATTTTGAATCCATTAGCGATGACCTTCATGACCAATTTGTATAGGACAGTGTAAAGGCTGATGGGGCGGAAATCGACAAAGGATTCGGGGTTACTAACTTTGAGAATGAGAACAAGCAAACCTTTGTTGAGTTCAAGATCGATGAGGTTGCCATTGAAAATGCCTCTAACCCAAGCACAAACGTAGGGACTGATTGTGCTCAACTGGTTTTGAAAGAAAGTGGCGTGCATACCATTGTTGCCAGGTGATTTTAGGGGACTCATTTAAAAAAGAGAGTAAAGTCCATAAGGAAGGGATGAGGGTGAGTAACCATTACTGATTAAGATCAGGCTCAACGTTCACAGGTTCCAAAACAGCCAAGGTAGGTTGCGACTGCTCATGACGCGTAGTAGCGATATCTTCCATTGTCTTAGCAAGGGAGGAATTGATTTGTCTACGAACATATATTTTCGAAGACTTGTTGCAAACCACATAAGGACGGCTTTATTCCTAGGGACGGTCGGTTTCTTACTAGAGTCGTGCCTTAGCAACATGGTCTTCAGAACCGGACCGGTTAGTGAATCGGGACGTCATAATTATTTAAAAAATTAAAAAAAAAAACCAAAAATATTTAATAAAAAATAATTTTTTATATCACAAGTCATACTCAAAGCAAGTCATAATATATATAAGTTAAAAACCATAAAATCAAGTGAAATAAAATGATTCAAATTAACTACAACATAATATTTAAGGTAAAACATATTAAATAATAAATATAATTATATAACTATAATTAAAAAATAAATTTTGGGTTAAAAAAATCATTAAAAAATGATATTGTTTGATTTAATTTTTTTTTTAAAACAATCCCACATGGCTAAGAAACATAGAAGAGCATCCCAAAAATCTAAAGAGAAAATATGAGAACAAAACAATCTCACATTGCTAAGAAACATAGAAGCGCATCACAACTAACATCTATAAATAATAGAGGTAATTTGACATTCAAAATCATGGAGCCTTTTGGTGAGCATTGAGTGAACTATTCTTTCACTTCAATCAAGCTTGAATTTTAGGCTTCAATCGAACTTCTAATTTTTTTTTGAGTTCAAGCCTTTTTGAGTTCAAGTTTCAATATTATATTTCGAGTTTGAGTTGAACTTGATAATTTTTAGCTTGTGAGTTTGAGTTGAGTTGAGGTTACTTTTAAAGTTTTCAAGTTCGAGTCGAGCTCAGCAATACTCGAGTTCGACTTGGCTCGTTTAACAAACGACGTTGTTTGGTTTAATTTTTTTTTTAAAAAAACAAAAATCCTGGTTTTTTCTGGTTTTTTTCGGTTTTCAGCCGATCCGGTTCGAACGGTTCAGCGGTTCTGGCAGGTTCACTAATAGCAGTTCAACAGGTTTAGATTGAACCGGACTAAGCAACGGTTCTCGGTTGAACCAGTTAAACCGGCCGGTCCGGTCCAATTTTCAAAACAGAGCTTAGCAATATCTTTCGTTTATTTTCATTTGATAATAATATCCTCTTAATGTATTTCCCTCTTGTTTAAAAGTTAACTTTTTTTTTAAATCCAATAATTATAAAAAAAACATTTAGAAATTTCACATTTTTAAAATATATTTTATCAAAAATTAATTTCGTTTTGAAAATATTAATTTATTTATATTTTGAACTTTTATGATAAATAATACTTTTATTTAAAAAAAATCAAAAATAAAATGGTGTTTAATGGTCGGCAATGGCGGTGGGCGTGGAGGCAAGAGTGGCAAGAAGCTCGAGATATATAATACACCATTTTTGTCTCTTTACTCATCTCACATAGCAAAAGTTCAAGTCTTCATTTTCCAACAATGGAGTTGGGAAGGATGAGTCCTTTTACAAACAGAAACAAATGATTTTGTCTTCTTAATACATACGATGTGTACTTACTTTGCCTTTTTGAGCTTGCTGGTGACCAGGATATCTTTGTGTTTGTGGCATTAATATTGGGTCCGAGAGGCCAGTAAAGGAAGGGTATTGGAGGTCTTTGACTACACAGCTATGAATTGCAGAGGACACTCTGCACTGATAAAGGATTTTTTGAGGAACCGTAGATGGTAAAACATCGAACATTAAAGCATTTCAAGATGCAGTTAATCATGAGCCAGTACCGATGGCGGCGTTCAGCTCTATGTTCCTGCTGGACAGTGGCTCACTGGGAGCTAGAGGAAGAGGCGGATTTGTGAAAAACATATACGTGAACAGAATCACTTTGCATACCATGAAATGGTTGTTTTGGATGACGGACTACAAAGCACACACCGATAACCACTACGATCTGAAAGTCGTGGCGGATAACTGTCGATGGCGCTTAGGTTGGAAGGGATCAATGGTGACCCTTTTACTAAAATCTGGATATCCGTTGTCACGATTGGAATGGCTGCTAAGGCTAAGAAGGTGCCGTGGACTTGCCCCGAGATTAAGGGGATCATGAGTGGTGTAACTCCTCGGCCATGTGACCTACTACCAGATCAAACAATGTTATTTGCATTATGCAACTTCTGGGTTTCCCATATAATTGATGAAGCAACACTTGAATCCTCTGAAATTTCCGAGCCTCGAGACAGTCCCAGTACCGAAAAGTTCAGGCTGTCGTGCTTCAGGTCGGTAATCACCTCACATGCATCCCCTTCGATTATAATGTCTGAAGAACCTCTCAACATAGCTAACTTCAAACTCCATAGTGATAGCACTGCCCTCCAAATCCAGTGTCAAACCATCAATTGGCCTCTGCACAACCTCACGAAACAAACCCCTCATTGTCCCTGGCAATCACTCCTATTCCACCCAATCTGTCCTCGTGGCGGGTTGGCATTGAGCCTGACCGTGCTACCTTCAGATGGTGCCCATCCATCTTTGAGCCTAACCGTGTTACCTTCAGTTGCTTGTATCACCGTTCCAGCAACATGAGATTTAATCTCAGAAAGTTAATTTAAAATTGTCTTTATCAGTTCCTGCATCATATCCCTAAACCATACAGTGATTAGATGTTCTTTACATTCAATAGAATTCATGGCGCGATCATATACATTAACTGCACCTAAGAATTCACGAGTCTTCTAAGTTATAAAGTATGCATGTCAAGAATTGGCTAAAAACTGAAGGCAAAATTGGTTAGAATAGTAAATGAAAATTTATATGTTCAGAACATTTGCAAAGAAATACGAGCCTTTTATATTTACTTTTAATACAGTACAAGGATACATGTACAACCAAATTATTACTATCATAAGACACCACCTTACAGCTCACACAACTCGTACTAATATAACCCAACGGTCGTATATGTCGACTAGTTAGAAAACAGAAGGCCCATTCCTAAACCAACTGTATACAGAAGGGTTAAACTTCATTACACTCGTAGGATTCACCTCACGAGTTGTTCTTTCCCATTTTTCCCTATCATTGAATTTGGGGCAGCATCATTGGCATTTCGTAGATTACAAATCAAAGTGTTACGCCCTGTCAAAACTATCTTGAAAAAACTGTCTACTACCTTTGAAAGATTATCCAGCCCTTGTGCTAGTTTCTCTTCCGTTGTTCTCAAATCCGAAACAGAATTCTTGAATGACTCCCTTTCACTAGGACCCACTCCATCTTGGAGCAGAAGAGACACCTTCTTGGCACATGCATCAACAGCCTCCAGTTCCCTTAGAACTGTAAATTTTCCGCAAGAAAATATATTTCTAATTTCTACATTCACGACAGTTTGGACATCCGAAAAAACTTGAGCCCATGGTAGTGTATTAGGAATAGATAAGTCTAACAAAAACTTGGCAGAACCAGAGAAAGCTGCAGTAAAGACGCTACATATGTATGTAGTAGCCACCTTAGCTCCATACATAGCTTGCATCAACACCTTTCCCTTAGACGAGTTGTTAATTTTTGGCAAGTTTAGTGATTCCACAAGGTTGTCCAGGATTGGCCAACAAGTCTCAAATCTGGGATTTTTGGAGCTAATGTGTTGTTTCCAGCTATCAAGCAAGGTAGAGGCCCGTGTGAACAAATCTGGGGAATTGGACTCCAACTTATGCAAGACATACTGAAGCATAAGATGGCCTTGGTTGAGCCGAGCAAGCTCGGAGGTAAAAGCATTACTAATATCAAGCAGCTTCACACTGATATCCAGGTACACATCCATCCATTTTTCATCCCAATCATTCAAAGGGAGGTCAAGTTCAGTTATCAGGTTTTTTATGTCGCAATGAATCTCAGAAAGTGACTCCATTGCTAGTTTCATCCATGACAAGCTGAGGATGTCACCCTTGTCTTTAGGCACAAGTTTTTTCAGCCTCTCTGATAAGGTGGCCTCAAAATTGTTCAGTAAAGAAAGAAATCTTGGAGACAACTGAGAACCCTTAGGTGATATCATACGGAAAGGATTCCCAAAATGGAAGAAAGGGCGATTTGGTTCCTGAGGACGACTCATCTTGATGTGTTAACTGCAAACATAAAAGAACAAATTCTATCATCGCTTAAGAGTGTAAAGCCATAATCTCCATAACAAAAGCAAACCATTACTACCAGGATACAACAATAAAGGTGTTACTCCCAAAACCTGCCTCTGACTTCTAATCAAAAGGCAAATTAACTTGAACACATTTTCAAGACTATATCTGGAAGATCTAACCACCATAACACCCCATATACATCCAATTTCATAAACTGGATGCTGTGGATTAAGACAAACATCAACCGTGGCAATGCCCAATTATTTTATACAAAAATCATGATGCGTAAGATACGGTGATAAAATACATCAAAGAGACATGTTTGAAAGCAATCAAGGCAGTAAACCAAGATCTCCTTGATTGCCTTCATTTCCTTCATGCTTATCCACGCTATCTTTGCTTTAAATTCTAGATAGTTCTTTCCCTGAATATTATGAGAAACATCCACGTTATTTCTACACAAAATGAATTCATTCTTACCAAAAAATTCTAAGAAAACACTAAATCACATATTTAAACACAAATCTTTAACGTCCAAATTCATAAACACCAAAACTAAAGCCAGGTCTAATAAAAGTTATCACAAAGATATCCACAAAAATGAAGTCAAATAAATCTAAAAGTAAATAAGCCAATCGAAACATGTATATCCTTACCTGGTATTAGATCTTTAAATCCGAACGGAAGTATAAAATTATCAACACATTGATATGGTTTTGTTAGGAACTGAAGCTTAAAAAATCACAACCTAGAACTAAGAATCTTCAACTACAAAATTTTGGGAAGAAATCGTGTTTCTTCAGAATCGCACAAAGATCGGCGAATTAAAAAGAACATAAAAAAGAGCAGAAGTAAATCGAATCTTCTACAGAAAAGAAGAAAATAATTTGCTTTTCTTCGGAATCGCACACATAGAAGAGAGAATTGAAACAATCTTAGTAAAAGTAAACACAAAGGAAATCAAAAGATAGAATTCTACCTGATTTAGTACTTCGTAACCGGAAATTTCTATAAGATCTTCAAACTCGTATTGTATTTAATCTTTGTTTGAAATTCCCCCTTGGAAATATGTGGTATTATCTCTTATTTTATTTTGTGTGGTGGGTGTGGATGAGAGCGTTGATTAAACCACCGCCTTATCACTAGTATTACGTCACAGAATGCATACGTGGAGGACAATTATTGAACAAAATGGAGATATTAGATTATGAATAGCGGAGGGTATTATCGTATATTTCTTCATAAAAGTCAGTCTGCTGGAATTTTATTTTTCAATGGGTCATATCCACACGTCAGCCCTACCTAACAAAAATGTTCAGTATATTACGAAAATCCAACGGGTACAAATGGGCTGCCGTGCCAGCTGTATGTTTCCAAGCAATGATCACTGCGTTTAGTACGATATTTTTTTTACTATCACGATAAGTATTCCATTTCAGGGTATACTTTACTAATAATCACTGAACTTTTAGGTTAGTTTCATTTTTATCTCTTAATTCTTATAACTTTCATTAAAGTACCAAACTTTTAATTTGTTTTAATTATCGTCACATTAAAATCATCTTCTCAAAAATAAAAAACCCTAAGTACTAAATTTACGATTTTCATAGAGGCTAAATCTTTTTATTAACATAGCATTTGTCAGCCAATCCTAATAATGAGAAAGATCTGTTGAGTTAGAAGATTGACATATTTTAAATGTATCTTAATTCAACGGTTATTAATCGTAGACTGTAAAGTTTTTAACTTTTAATTTTGATGGAGATTTGAAGAGATTAAAAGATTTTATTTAATGAGTTTGAATTACACGAAAGAAAGAAAAAAGACTAGTTTGATGATGTTTTCGACGAGAGAAACCATTGAACGGAAGTAAAAATAATGACAAAAGATGACGATAGTCCAATAAAAACTAAAAACTAATTTTTTTATTTGTCCTTATTAACTATTGAATCAATTTGAAATTGAATTATGTTAATCTTATTGTCAAGTGGAGCCTCCGTAGTATTAAGATTAATCAATGATCATTGTGTTCATAAAATTTCGGCCTTTGTTATGAAGGGATTTTTTTTAGGTAGAAGGCTTTAACAGCAACCAACGACTTTGATTGTAATGAAATTAAATTAAAAATTTAGTATTCGTAATGTAAATTTTAAAAGTTAAATAATCAAATTGAAACTGCAATAAAAATTAACTTATTATCATTCTTTTCAATAATTTTGACCCAGAGATGCTCTTAAGTGTTGAATCTATATTCTCAGAAAAAATGGAGATATCAACTTTTAATCACTCTCTAAAAGTTATTGACCAGTTATTATAAATATAATCTACCATTCATTTTAATAAATTTAAAAATTGATTATTACTTGAGGAATTGTTGTTATTCTTTAAGGACTCAGGTTCAAGCACCATAGATGTCAGGAATGCAAGCATTTAATGTCGAAAGATTAAAAAATTTCTTGGAACATTATTATCTTGTACTTATTCCAATTAAGATCATTTTTGTTAAGAAATACTTATGTCTCGTGTTAAATTTCTTCCCTAAATAAAACCCTAATTTTCCAAATCAACTACCATTACAAATATTGAGTTTTCAATGAACGTAACGTCCGTCAATCAATTTTAACGATGGAAAAGCTACGTTTAGTCAGAAGATTAATATAGTTTTATTTAAATTGATAAGATAGAATAATGATTGTTTATAAAATTTTACTTTTATTTTCTATTAAATTGTTTCTCCTTTCATCTTCATATTTACTATCATTCGATCATTTCTCATATCGAACATATTATAAATTTACTCTTATTGTTCTCTTTCTTTCCTTCGGTTCAAACTCATCGAATAATCTTTTAATCTAATCAAATTCCAATCAAAACTAAAAGTCAAAAAATTTTGATCTCTCACTGTCAATTTTCGGATCAACTTTAAACTTAACTATGTTAATCTTCTGGCAAAAAAAAGCATTCTCAATATTAAATTTATCGTTGACTGCCTTATTTATAAAAAATAGCCTTCATATGAGCTAAAAATTTGGAACCATAGGGTCGTATTTTGGGGGGAAAGACTTTAACATGCCATGTTAATTAACGACGGTGATCATAATGAAATTGAATTAAAAGTTTAATGATTGTAATACAAGCTCTAAAAGCTCAGTGACTAAAGCCAAATCACCTTAAACAGTCAGTGACTACGAATATAATTTACCCTAAAGAAAAATACCAATAGTTATAAAAATATTATCATTAAAGCACGGCAAATGAGACGCATTTTTAAGGCTTATAGTCAAAATAAAAAAGCGCAGCTTGACGGCTGGAATACCGTTCTTCCTTCTAAAAACAAAACATTACCATTAAAGCACGGCAATTTTTCATTTTCAGAAAGGATAAATTACATATTTACTATATAAATTATTAATTTTAGATTGTTTAAATTTTTTAATTTTCTTTGAAATTTAACGTTAAATTTTGAACATTATATTAAAATAAAATATATATTATGTATTATATATTATTTTAAAAAATAAAAAAATATAAATATTAAAATAAATTAAAACTAATAATTTAAGTAATAAAGTATAATTTGTCCCAACTGGTCAGCCTTGGCGCACGTTGTTTATACCATTTATTCTTCTTTGTTAGCAAAATCCGACGGTTTTGGCTAATTATATTGCTTTATGTTTCCGCACACCAATTTTCGTACAAGGGAAACCGACGATCCACAAGAACGTTCCAGAGAACAAACAATAAAAAGCTCTTAAAATAAATCAAACATATTTATCATGCTTATTTTCTTAAATCAATCAACTTCGACAAAGTTTAATCATATCAAGAAATATGGTAGGTTCTATGAGCTACTTCTTATATCACTTTAAATTTATTATTTATTGAATTTTAGTGGTCAAAAGTTTTAAATTTTTTATAATTAATTACAATATTTTTTTTAAAAATAACTTTATAAAATAAACATTTAAAATTTTCCTAATTAAAATATTAAAAAATATTGTATTCAAATGTTTATTAATAATAAATTTTGAATAATAAAAAATCAAAATTTTATAAAAACTGCCTACTAAAGATTGAAAAAAAATATTATAAAATTTTAAAATATTCATAATGTTTCTAAAATTATGTATAAAACGTTATAAGACCTAAGTATGATGAAATATGCGTTCATTAGGAGAAAAAACAACATGTTCAACGTTTATAAAGTCGCATTGACTTTTTAAATTAATCAACAATGTCTCGTAATTTGGTATAAACAAAATAAATCTATCTAGAAAATAATTATTAAAACTTAATTTCTTATAATTTTATTTGGGTTATAAGTGATGACATGTTAATTATTACATATAATTTTTATTTAATAAATTGTTAATTATTGTGTTATAAATTCTGTGTAATTGATATGTGAAATTAATCTTAAACGTAGTTGATATTTGTTTGATAATTATCTATTTCCCTAAACATTATGAATCATTGTTGTATTGAACATTAGTAGGAAACCTAAATCATCAGCCAAAAATGCAGAACCAAGTAAAGTTATAAGATGCCTAATGTGGTCGTTAGGCTCAATGGCCCCAAAGCATGCTTTCGCCATTAACGGTGGAAACAAAGCAAACGTAATTATCCTATTGTCTCTTGGCGAGATGCTTCATTTTCCGACAAGGCAACACTGATAAGAAAAACAACCCATATGAATTAAGATGGCCGTTTCCATCAAATTAGCTGGCTGTTGGGTCCATTTCTCACTTGATGTTGACGCGTAATCTATATATATAGATATATATTAGTTCTACCACAACAAATGGTCCATCACCAATTCCTCATCTCATTTCATGCATTGCTATTTGCATATTATCATAGAAAATATTATATTTATCTTTGCTGTATTTTCTCCAAATTTATTTTAAAGATTACATCTCGTTATAAGATTTTTATTTATTGTGTGATGAAATCACCATAGTATTATATATTTTAAAGTTCTTCGAAACCTTCAAAATTCAATGTCCTTCGGACAGTTATAAACCTTAAGATGACATTTGACAAACCCAATATAATCTACAAGAGTCATATATTTTATCTAATAGTTATATTTATTTAGTTTGTCAACCTATACATAGACATCATGATCCTAGACTTATACCGACACTAAAATCATATATATATATATATGATCAAAAGGAGGGATTTTTCTCACTCTCTCTTAACTTCATCGTCATCTTCAAACTGTTTGATCTTTATTTTTCCTCCGTTGAATAATTGATCACGACTCTTCGCACAAACCAAAAGAAATGAACCGTCAACAATCAAACCACAACTCAAATTTTACTATCAATAATTGATGCACCGTTAAATATCGTCACAATATAAATTTTATTATCAATAATCGGTATCATCAAATATTACCTTAAAAAATCTTCGAACAAAAGAAAATATCAAACCGAACCCCTTTTTTGTTATAAATTAATGAAGACAATCAAATACAATCTGTAAGAATTCAATGAGTCCATTCATTTATACAAATGCAGGATTGTATGTTATGTACAAAGACAAAGGATGAATGCAGATCATTGTTTTGCTAAGTGGAGCATCATTATCTGTACCTAGTTGGCTGGTGGTGATGGTTCCTTTCGCTATCGCCTTCCCATGTACGAGAAGCAGAGGCCTCGTCAAATCGTCGCTCACCGAATTTCGTAGCATGGCGATTTGTTTGCTGATCATTGGATTGATCGTTCGCAATCCGACGTTCCTGCAAAGAAAAATAACATCAAACCTCCCTTTTTGGATGCCATGAATGTTGGTATGCAGAAAAAATTGTGCCTACGTCGTGAAATAGCAGATCATCAGACTCGAGCATGTGGATAACATGTCCCATTTTCGGTCTCTTCAATGCATCAGGATCGATGCATCGAAGAGCGACTAGTAGTATGCGTTTAAGTGCTTTTGAAGCCGGTATCTGAGGTAGTTTAGGATCGACTACTTCCTTAGATTTTCGGTTTCCGACCATGGTTTTTAACCATTCCACCAAATTCACCTGCAGTTCTCAAGTCATTTTCAAGTTAGCAACATTAGGAGCTGTGATTCTACTAGCCGAGGATGAAATTTAGAAAGCCTAACCTCTCCTTGCTGTCGGCTATAATCCACGGGACATCTCCCGGAAATAATCTCCATTATAAGTACTCCAAAACTATAGACATCACTCTTCTCGTTCAGCATTCCGGTACAAGCATACTCTGGAGCAACATAACTGAAACACACATATATGCATTCATAATACGTACTATTATTGATTATTTTTGCAAGACCGGAAACAGAAATCAACCAACCCGAATGTTCCCATCACTCGAGTCGTCACGTAAGTCCTTTCAGAGCACAAGAGTTTAGCAAGGCCGAAATCGGAAACCTTAGGGTTCCACTGGCGATCGAGTAAGATGTTGCTAGCTTTTACGTCCCGGTGAACGACCTTTGGTTCAAGACCCTCGTGAAGGTAGGCCAAACTGCAAAAAGTAGTGCAATAAACACTCCGAATAAAAACCATCACAAGTGAAATACAGAATTCAAAGCTATGATGTACCCTTTTGCTGTTCCGAGTATGATGTTCATCCGAATATCCCATGTAAGAGGACTGACATCTCCGACTTCACCGTGGAGCCACTGTTCTAAATTGCCATTGTCCACAAACTCATATACAAGCATCCTGAGCATAAAAAAAAACAGATAATAAGTTACTTATCTTTAATAAAATCAGAAAAAAAGGGGAAACTAGCCTTTGATTTCATAGAATTGCAGTACCTGTATGCACCTTCAGCACAATATCCATGCAATCTCACGAGATTCTTGTGTCGTGCTCGGCCGATTGCTTCCACCTCCACCTTGAATTCCTTCTCAGCTTGACCCCTGTTATTAAGAAGGTTCTTAACAGCAACTTTAGCTCCGTCACTTAAAACGCCGCTATAAACGATTCCGTAGCCACCTTCGCCGATCACATTCTCTTCACACAATCCGTTCGTAGCTAACTCCAGTTCCCTCAGAGTATACCATCTCCCCCAACCGAGATGAGACATTTCCGGCACCACGCTTCCACTCCCCAACGACGCCGTGTCGCTCGCGCCTGCACTCGTAGGCCCTCTACTTTCCCCACTCGTCAACACCACTTGAACCTCCGCCACCGACTGGACGATACGGTGGTGATCGGAAGCGGATTGTTGGTTGATTGTTTCTTGAAACTCTTTGGACACTGGTGGGGAAGGGTACTCCAGGTGGTGGTGTCCGGCGGATTTGCGGCGATTGGTGAGGCAAAGCGAGATAAGAAACAAAGCGACGACGATGAGTGAACCGGAAAGAACACCGATCAGTACCCATAGTCGTAAGCCGAAAATGGACGTCGGCTTTGATAGCTCGGCGTTAAGAAATTCCAAGTCGTACACAGCCATTGTAGTTTATCGTTTTTTTGTTCAATAATCCAGCAGCATTAGCTCCACACCAGAAAAAAGAAAAGGTTTTTACTTGGGATAGAAGACAAAGAAGAAAGAAATGGAGAAGACAGAGCAAAAGAGACAGTTTTGTATATTATATTGCTATTAATTTAGCTTGTTATGGACATTTTTAAATAAGGTTGTCTCTACCTTTTGCTTCTTAAATTAAAGGAAACAAACAACATAATATGTGTGTGCCTGGTTCTTTCTATCTTGTAGCTTTTGTGAATGAAATTGAAGACGGCGATTATGAGGATGACGACGAGTACGTAGGTTAAAGCTACGAGATGAAGATGATAATAAGATTGCGTAGCAACGTCCCCAGTCAAAGTGTGATACGATGAGATAGTCAGGTGAGGTGAGACTGATTAAGCAAAGCTTAAGAAAGACTAAGCGTCTCAATCTCACCTCTCAAATTTATTTTCTTCTTATAAAAGAAGCTCCGGTTAATAATTGATGAAGATTTCATTGAATCTCATTAATATTTTATTATAAAAAAACAATTTCATTTTTCATAATTCAGCTTCCAACATAAAAAGCTATTAAAATTGAAACCGCATCTAATTGACAAAACACAGCAACATTCTGCTTAATTGTGTCACACAAATCTTAAGTACTCTCTAATTACAACAACAATAATAATATCATGATATTATCCCCTTTAAATTTGACAACACAGCTAATGAAAAACCTTGTTTAGGAATCTAAGCACAACAACATAAGTCAAGTTGAAATTGTACTAAAATTTGATTAGGGAATAGTTCAGTTTTTTCCACCAATTGTTGAATAATTATTTTGTTAATTGATTGAATGAGATGTGACATAAACTTTGATATACATTGGAATCTTCTTTTGAAATTTGAGCCTATAAACATGCATCATTGTATATGTTTTATACTTTTTTGATATACATTACAAGTTAATTTGACCCCTTTTTTTAATTTCCTATGTTTACACCTATCTCATTGAAAAAGGGGAGAGAGAAAAAAAACATAAGGAGAATGAATAGTAAATGTTACAGGCAAATATCTCGAGATCTTTTCCTATATTTTCATTTGTAGCTGGAGATTCAGTAAATTGTGTAACCATTAGCCGTTCAGTACAAGTTAATAGTTGATAAAAGTTTCGTTGCATTCAATACTTTCGTCTAGTCTTCCCTCTGTTGTGTTTAGTTCCTTCCCATTGAACTAGCTTTCTGCCTAAGCGTGCCTTCTTTTTCTCAAGTGCCTGAACTAGTGATAAGGCCATGCAACTCGATACAAAATCAACGAACAAAAATATTACAATCAAATTAAGTAATTCGACCCCAGTTTTTGTATTCTCTGCCTCCCCTTATCACTCTTCCTTCTTGTCCGCTTCGTCAAGTGCAGCCAATCTTTCAACGAACGGAGGATAATAATATTGATAAGCAGAGTACCACTGATCTGTATTCATAGCCGATAGACTTTCCTCCTGAAAGTTATGCACCCAAAACTCTCAACTCGGTAATATGTATAGTCACACCAGTAACATGCACCAAAGAGGTGATCTTTTTGCCTTGAGTAGTTAACAACAATGAAGCAGTCTTCATTTTCGAAACGACATAGTAGATCTGGATTCAAACCACCAAGTAAAAATGACAAGAAAATCACCTGCAGCTTCACTAGACAGGCACGCAAAGAAGACCCGTAACCAAGCTTCTTTGTGAAGGCATCAGCCTATGTAAAACAATAAATACAAAACATTAAGATCAACATATTAGGTTACAAATAAAAAATCAGCATTTACTCCAGAAAAGAGGTTACCTGAAATTCAAACGATCTGCTTACAAGATTGAGACCAAAGCTTACAAGGTGTTGGAATGGTATTACAGTATGCTGCACAAGACGAGGTAAAAAAATGGTTAAACACTTAACAGCTTATATAGTACATCCCATTGTTAGACTACATATTTCAACTGCTAGTACATTGTTTTGTTATTCTAATACCTGAAATATGATAAGGCCAATTAGTACAGGCTGTGTGTCAAAACCAAAACTTCGGAAAAGATCTGTTGAGTTCCTGACCAGCATATAACCTCCGAATTGAAAAGACGTAAGAATCTGCATATGGAAGGAAGAAAAATAAATCAAACATCAAAATAAAGGCATGGACCTAGTTACTGAAGCAAGAAATAAGACACATCCACTTCCAACTGGAGAAATTGAGCAGAGCATAATATGATGAGATAAACAGGTGGTGTTCTAAATGTTAAATAGAATAAATTGCTATTTTCACAGGGTTAGGCATCACTTGCGTGCTTTTGGTTTCATCTTCTTATATTTTATAGTGATTGGGATTATGATTATCTTGCTCAGAGAGCACTACCATTTCATAAGGTTTGACTGCCCAAAGAAAGTATACCTGAGTAAGCAAAACACCTCAATAACTTCTCTTTCAGACCTACAAAACAAATTTTTATTTTCTAACAGAAAATTATTATCACCGACCATGTTTAATGACATCCCTAGCAATGTCACCATACCATAAATCGAGAGCCATGAACCATAATATAGTCATAACATGGTGATCATTTATTCAGAATAAATAAAAGAAGACTGAGTATGCTTTTCTTTCTTTTTTATCTCTAGTGAGGAAAAAGCTTGCGATAGAACAACCATAGCTTACATGCACAGCGATAAATGAGTACATGGTATGATTTAGCTTCCAGTGCCCCAGTTCATGAGCAATAACAGCAACAATTTCCTCATCATTTTTGCACTGCAAAAATAAAACTGAATAAATAAGACTTTTTCAAAGTGTCGAGCGAGCCTTCACTACACAGACAATGGTGAGATAATTTATCATTCTTTCCAACTCCTTTCATAACTAGGGAAAGGAACATATTTTGTATTCAGAAACTTTCATATCAAGTCAAAATGCATCCTCAAAATCAAGATAAATAGAATGGAATTATGTATAAGTTCCTATATAAGCAATAAGATTGTTTGCTAAGAGAGAAATCTACTGGCATAACATTAGACCATATTTATCACAAACTCAAAGCCTCCAGAGATTGACAGACACTGTGCCTATTATACAAGTAAAATATGCACTATGCAAAAGGCACAACCGCGCAAGGTACTCATATGCCCAATGTTGAAAGTCAAGCAATGCACCAAATTAAAAGTTCAAAGTTTGACAACTAACTTTGAAAAAATGGTTTTCAAAGTTTGGTAAATGTTTCTTTGAAAATGATTTTCAAAGTTTGGTAAATGTTTCTTTGAAAAATAGTTTTTCAAAGTTTGGTAGATGTTTGTTGAAATATTGTAATGGGATAATCATAATTAGTCACTAGACTTTAGGGTATTTACATGATTAAGTCCTTAAGTTTCAACTATAAATACCTCTAGCTCATTTAGCTTCAAATCCATCCCAAAAATCATTTCTTTCTCCCAATACTAGAGAGTTTTCTTGTGAGTAGTGAGTGTTTTGTAAACACCTGCAAATTTTATCTCTTAGTAAAAGATCTGCAGCAATCCGAAGACTTAAGCACAATTGGCTGAACTTCGTTATCAATTTCGGGTATTATTTTTCCACTTTTATTTTGCATTCTCACTAATCTGGTTATAAGGAAATTATTCGTACTCGGTTTATTTCCTAACAACTGGTAATCAGAGCTTTTGATTGTAAATTTTGTCAATTTTTGCGAGGTTACTATTCATGTGAATAGTGAATTTCGTGAATAGTAAAAATTTTGTCGGCGATACGAAATTGTCGACGGAGGTGTTATAATACACGGTGGTTCGCACAAATTGTCAGAAACGATCCGAAGAAGCCAGATTTGAGTGGGAGCGATGGCTGCAGACGAAGGAAATGTGAAAATTAAAAAGTTCGATGGTGCGGACTTTGCCTTTTGGAAGATGCAGATTGAAGATTTTCTGTACCAGAAAAATCTATATCAACATCTCTCAGGAAAACAACCAGAGGGCATGAAGAATAAAGACTGAGCTCTTCTAGACAGACAAGCCCTCAGAGTTATCCGATTGACGTTGTCCCGAAATGTTGCTTTTAACATAGCAAAGGAAAAGACCACGGCGGGTCTTATGGCGGCTCTCTCCAGTATGTATGAGAAGCCATCGGCCTCAAACAAAATTCATTTGATGAGGCGATTATTCAATTTGCGGATGGCGGAAGGGACATCAGTGGCTCAACACCTAAATGAGCTCAACACAATCACAACCAGTTGAGTTCCGTGGAGAACTATGTCAGTGGTGATTTTGGGAAGGTTCATCTAGCCGATGATGAAACCTTGAAGATCATCGGAAAAGGAGACATCCGATTAAAGTTGCTAAACCAGACCACCTGGACGCTGAAAGGAGTGAGACATATTCATAGCCTCAAAAGAAATTTGATTTCTGAAGGACAGCTTGATGGTGAAGGATTTAGCACAACTTTTTCAGGCTGTGAATGAAAGATTACCAAAGGAGCACTCATCATTGCTCGTGGTAAGAAAACTGGTACTCTCTATATAACCTCAAATTTAGATAATATCATTGCAGTAGCAGATGATGATGGAAAATCAAACCTATGACACCAAAGGCTTGGCCATATGAGCGAGAAAGGGATGAAGACATTTTTGTCAAAGGGGAAGTTACCGGATCTAAAGAATGTAGATGTCGGACTATGCGAGGATTGCATATTTGACAAACAAAAGAAAGTCATCTTTGCAAAGATTGGTAAGACACCCAAGGCTGAAAAGTTAGAGTTGGATCATACTGATGTATGTGGACCATCTCCAGTTTCATCTCTTGCAGGCTCATTATATTATGTCACCTTCATCGATGATTCTACAAGGAAGGTGTGTGTTTATTTTCTGAAGAAGAAATCAGAAGTCTTTGATACCTTCAAAAAATGAAAGGCCATGGTGGAAAATGAGACTGGTCTGAAAGTCAAGCGGTTGAGGTCTGACAATGGAGGAGAGTACAGAAATCGTAGATTCAGAGATTTATGCGCAAACAATGGGATCAAGATGGAGACAACAGTTCCCATGACACCGCAGCAGAATGGCGTAGTAGAGCGCATGAACAGAACTCTAAATGAACGTACCAGAAGCATGAGGATACATGTCGGATTGCCCAAATTTTTATGGGCTGAAGCTATCAACACTGCAGCTTACTTGATCAATCGTGGGCCCTCGGTTCCTTTGGATGGCAGAATACCAGAGGAAGTTTAGAGTAAGAAAGAAATAAACCTTTCACACTTAAGAGTGTTTGGTTGTATTTCTTATGTACACATAAACTCTGCTGAAAGAAGTAAACTTGATGCCAAGTCCAAAAATGTCTTTTTGGTTATGGTAGTGATGAGTTTGAATTAAATCCTTCATGTTTCATCCCCTTTTTCAGTCTTAACTCTAGTACACATACTTAAACCAATCTATATTCATTTATTTCATCTTAAATCTCAAAATCTTATCTTCCTTATGTAATTCAATAATTACATAAATTTTGCAACATGTTTCAAATCCAATTCTATTACTTCATATCTCTTACTTAGATTGATAACAAGTCAAATCCAACTTTCAATTCTTGTTATGAACTCTATTCCAATATTTCATTCAAGAACCTCTAATCTTTAATCTTCTCTATCTCCTTTATCTTTTGATCTTAAGATAACTTAAGCTTTCCTTAAGCTTAGTTATCATCTAATGATCAAAACTCAATCTTAAACTTAACAAATAATTAACTAAGTAGAAGACTCGCCTTTGAGCTTCGAGATACGGGAGGAGAGGAAGAAGAAGGAGAAGAAGTTCTGGAGAAATATCTCCCTACATGCTTATCTCTTAATAAAGAGATAAGATAATTATCTTTTAGATAAAAAGACCATTTTGCCCTTTAATTCCTTTAATAATTACTAAGAACTTTTAAGATTTATTTCTAGATAAATCATTGAACTAATCCATTCTTCTACTTTAATCACCAAATTCTGAAACTTTACAATTAAGTCACTAACCCATAGTTTGGGATGTTACAAATCTGGTTATAGGGAAATTACTCATACTCGGTTTATTTCCTAACACCCAATACTAGAAGAAATACAGTAGAAGATTGAAAAGAGATTGATTCTGAACTAAAGATTAGAAGACAGGGAATTCGATTAACTTTATAATCACTGAAAATAGCTGGGAAAGAAAAACATCATTACTAGGTTTAAAGTGAAGGCCTAATACAGTTTAATAGAGTGCCGTGTGTGCCTCACAATGAAGACGATGATCAAAGCTCACGGGCAATAATATAAACTCTTCCACTGAATAAACAAGGATGTTTTGCATCTATTCTTTGTTCAATACAAAATTCTCAAGGAAAGGACAAACTCGCAAGAGGTGAAGAAACTTTTACTTAGTATTAGATCCATACCTTCTGAATCAATGTGTGTCATAAAGGACAATACGCTTGTACGTGAAGAATCCATACAGATAGGCCTGCATGATGTTGAAAACATTAAATCATAAGTGGGATGAAAAGTCACTTCTGCAATCAGTCTCAATGTGAATAAGTAACGAATATTATCAAACTGAAAACAGACACAGTTTGCTTATTCTCAATGCCATCTGACAGTGACACATTAAACAATTCATTACAATAATATTCCCAGTGTGTGTATATATCACACACACACAGCAGCCACGATTCTTTAAAGTAAGATAATAGAAGTTATTAGTATTAGACTATAGTTCAAACCTTTACAGAAATTGTTTTGCAGAAGAAAAACACTGTGTAATCTTAAATGATGGAATATGAAAAAGTTTACAAACACAAGAGAGTGAACCAACCAATGACGCTTACATTGCTATGGCTTGATCTTGTGGATCCATCAACAACGAACAATTTCTTTAAAGGAAAATTAAGGGAGGAAGCAAGCTTCCAATCTTAAGACTGAGCTCTCCATGAGGAAGCTATTTCCCACAGTGGCATACCAAGCAAAACAAAATAATTAAGACTTGGGAAAAGAAGGTGCTTGAAGGAAACTATGAGACGATGGTTATGTACTCACAGGGGTGACCAAACAAAAAATTAAGAATCACCTTTCTGCAATTTCAGAATTAAGAATCACCATGGTGAGAGAAGGGTGACATAATAGCAAAAAGATTAGAGAGTAAATAAGATCATAAAGTCTTGTTGTTAAGATAACAATTGTCTGATTATAGTAGCATGGACCGGCAATGTTCCACCACAGAGCCAAATGCTAGAAATGTGCACAATTTTACCTGTACTATCCAAATAATAGCAGAAATAGATGAGAAATTTATCAGGAACAGAGAGATAAGTGTAATAAAAAAAAAGAGTAAACAAGGAAACAAAATGGTATAGGAAAGAGATTTAGTGCTTAAGAATACAAACTTTATTGAAACCATGACGGGCCTCGATCACAAAAGTTGAATAAAGAGAAAAAGGGAGGTCGGTGACCTGCATTATAAAATCACAGATTAAACGGTCAATGCTATCTTATTCAAAGTGATGGTTGTATAAAGAATCCTCAAATGAAATATTGTAATTCACCTGTGACCATATCAGAACACCAGCCAAAAACGAAAGAGTGTGCAGTATTTCATTCTCTTTGTTTAGACCAGCTAAAGGAAAGAAATTTCCAAATTTCTACAATAAATAACAATTAAATATACAAGATAGTGAAAAGCACCAAAAAGAAGGATCCATTAATTAAACACCAAACAACTCACCATCCAAAACCAAGCCAATATGCCAAAGAATAAAACTGCAGCGTCTATCAAGATTGTCACAAACTCATGAACAATATGGAAGTGGCTGAAAAGTAAGAGATGCATTATGGTCAATGTTGGATCAAGTCAAAAGAAAGCTTGATTGGTCCCTAATGATGTAATCTTGTAAATGATCAATACAAACAACAAAACCAACCTCTTGTGACAGGATATTCGAAACGGGAAAAGAAAGGAAGAAAGCAATAAAGAAACTTGAAAGATGCCTAAAAGCTAACTTAAATCCTAGATTTTTCAATCACCACCAATCAAGAAAACACATTTGCATGGATACTAATCGAAACTGGGAAAAAAAGTATATTTTAACTAATCTGTTTTAAATTATATTAAAAAAAGAAGAGCTTCGTTGTTTATTTCTATAACCGGAAGAAATGGATTCGAGCTCAAACAAAAGTAAGAATAAAAAGGAGAAAAGCTTACCACCAACAGCTTCCATGCACGTAAACGCCATGTCGTATCGATAAAGAATCCGCGAATGCAGAGAGAGAACGATAGGAGGGGTTTTTGCTATGGTTTTAGTCTCTTCGATACATGAATGGTCTCTATACGGGTACAGTTTTTAATACCCGCGTTTGACCCGACTATCACTATCCGTTTTGTTAGCTCAAAAAGAATTTTACTATAGGTCACTAAACTATGTTAAACTAATCATTTTAGTCACCAAACTTTCAAAAATCGCTAAATAGGTATTAATTTTTTTAGATAATTAGAAAATAATCATTAAATTTAGGGTAAAGTATAGTAATGGTCATGAACTTTTATAAAGATTTCATTTAGGTCCCTCAACTTTTAAAACTTGCAATACAGTCCCCTAATATTTAATCCGTTTACAATATGGTCCCTGAAAATATTGAGGGCCATATTGAAAACGGACTAAGTATTGGAGATTATATTGCAAGTTTTAAAAGTTTGGGGACCCAAATGAAAGATTTACAAAAGTGCAGTGACCATTACCCTTAATTTAATACTGGTCAATCGGTGGTTTGATTTACGACCGTTGTAGAATTTTTATATTATATATATTAGACAAACAATTTCTAAAAGTGGAAAAAGTAGTATAAAATCCATTGAACCTGAACTTGAATAGAACAAAAGACAACCAGTTTCCATTAGACTTTTAAGCTTCATTGCAATTGTTGCAGCAATGGAAGTTCATATTACTTCAAAGCAAATGGTTAAGCCATCCTCTTCAGAACTTCATCTCTTGAAACCATTCAACCTTTCACTTTTAGACCAACTCGCTATAAGGAAGTATACTCCGGCAATCTTCTTCTACGGTAAACCTAGTGATTCTTATATCGACGGTTCCCAATTCTCAGAGCAACTAAAACAAACACTCTCGAAAGTTTTGACTCAGTTTTACCCTGCTGCTGGTCGGGTGAAGAACAACCCTTTTATTACTGATTTCGACGAGGGAGTTCCTTGTGTTGAAACCAGTGTGAAAGGTCGATTATCTGATTTCATTGAGTCAACTAAAAAACTAGAGGAAATGAACCGATTGCTACCTTATCGACCCTTTTGCTATATTCAAGATTCAGCAGCACCCCAATTGACTGTTCAAGTTAAAATCTTCGACTGCGGTGGGATTGCACTAGGTTTGTGTTATTTACACAAGATCTTCGATGCAGCAAGCATATTTGCTTTCCTTAAAAGTTGGGCAGCTTTCAGTCGTGGTTTGAATGGTGAAATACCAAACCCTGGACTGTTAGGGTCATAGTCACTGTTTTTCCCTCCGGTTGAGTCAATGCCGGAAAATGCCGATTGGAAAAGCCTGTTCTTCAATGGCGGTGGGCGTAAGATAACAAGGACTTACGTGTTTGATGCCAATGCGATCTCGACTCTTAAGTTGATAGCGAAAAGCAAAAGCTTGGAGCAGTCTTCCCGAGTATTAGCTGTAAGTGCATTCGAATGGAAACATGCCATGCAGGCTTCTCGATCAGTTTCAGGAACTCTAAAGGCAACTATTTTATTCCAACCAGTGAACCTTCGACCAAAATTTAAGCCCGCCTTACCGAGTTATTCAATTGGGAACATGTTTTCGATGGCAAGTAGCATGTATAACCCAGTTGGAAAATATATTGACTTGTCTGAGTTGAGTTACCTAGTGAGAGAAGCAACCAAAAGTGCCCCTAATGATCCCCAGGTTATTCTAATATTCTGCAAGGATTTAAAACTATGAAAGAGCAAATCAGCCATCTTGCAGAAATGGACTCAAAAGGAAATGTATATTTTTTTTATTTTATTTTAAGCAGCTGAATCAATACTTTGGATGCAAATGAAGATTTTGGGTGGGGAAAACAGACTTTGTTTAGCATTCCAGGGATCCATAATCGAGAGTTCAGCAATGGTTTCGTTTTAAAAGAGGCAAGGCAGCACAACGCCATTGAAGTTTGGATTACTTTATCCGATAAAGAAATGGGTTTTCTGGAACGTGATCCAGAGTTCCTCGCATTTGCTTCTCCAAGTTCTTACTTTGATAAAAGTGAGATCTAAACATAAACAAACAAGAAAGATGATTCCCAAACTTAAAACTATTGTTGCCAAGGCTAAGTAAATTTCTTTGGTTTAATACTGTTGTGTTAATAATCAAAACTAGTATGTTCTGAAATCTGTTTCTTCTTGTTCTTGTCTTCGTTTACAAATAATAAATGTAAGGGTAAAGCATAGTAATGGTCACTAAACTTTTTTAAAGCTTTCATTTAGGTCCTCCAACTTTTAAAACTTGCAATATAATCTCCAACATTTAGTCCGTTTGCAATACGGCCCCTCAACATTTAGTTCGTTTGCAATATGATCCCTGAAGTAACTGTTGGGGGACCATATTGCAAACGGACTAAATGTTGGGGGAATGTATTGCAAGTTTTAAAAGTTGGGGGAGCTAAATGAAAGCTTTAGAAAAGTTCAGTGACCATTACTATACTTTATCCTTAAATTTATTGAACAAGTAGGGGTGTGCATTATCGGATATTATTCGATCCGAATTTTCAGATATCCGAAAATTTTGGATACCTAAAGTAATGATCCGTATACGATCCGAAAAAATCGATATTCCAAAATTCTGAAATTTCGGATCGGATATCAAATATCCGGATCCGAATCCAATTTTTGTTAGAAAAAAAAGAACAAATGATAAAGGGGGCATAATAAATTTTGTATGAAGGGGAGATAAAAAAACATAATGGATTTGTATCTAGCTGAATTTCATTATGAATATTTTAACATGTACCTAAGAATTAAAGATAAAAAAACATGATTTCGGCTCGTCATCTTCCAACGTTGAGAGGAAGAATATGCAAAAATATGTGTAATTATGTTATTTGTGTTTACAGAAATTAAGAAGATTCATAGATTGTTCTTCACAGGTTCATTGCTTTCGAGTAAAGGTTAATAATATATTACACTTACTTTGACCAAAGATTAAAGTTCCCTTTCTTTTGTCGTTTTAGTTAAAATTCTTTATTATTTCGATAAATAAAGGTTAATAATTCGTGTAAGACAAATAACGAAGGGGACGACGAAAAACAAAAAAATTAAATGAGGGTTACTATGCACTTCACAACTCAAAAGGAGGTGGATCAGACAAAGAGTTCAAGTTGGATGATTGCTAGTCAAACAACTCTCTCTGGCATAAATGAACTTTCGCACTAGGGAAAATTAACTTTGGCACTAAAGTAATTAGGTTTGAAAGAATCCATATAGCCCAATCAGCTCTGGGCTTGAAACCTACTAATATAGCCTAAATTTTTTTGGGTTTTTAGATAATCCGAAATTAGATTTTTATCGATCCGTATCTGATCCGAAAATCCGAAAAAAATTTCGGATACCCGATCCGAACTATCCGAAAATTAAAAAACGGATCAGATATCCGAATTTTTCGGATCGGATCAACGGATCGGATCGGTCGGATCGGGTTTTTTGAACACCCCTATGAACAAGTAAAATTAATTATAATGTTTCAATTATAATTTTATAATAAATTAATAATTTAATCATCATTTTATAAGTTTTAAAGTTGAATGATCAAAACATTTATTTTAGAATTTTAGACATCATATTTTATATAATGTAAGCAAAATACAAAAGATGTGTTAAATTTATATAAAAAGTAAAGATATAATTTTAAATATAAAAATAACATAAAAATACAGATCTTATGGGTCTTTTGTTCAGGTTTTTTCCTCCACCATGGGGTACATTTGCTCCGGCAGACATGCCTTTTAAGCATAAGAATAGTAGCTAGATATCACCCAAGCTTCTTGCATGTAGAAGATGCGTGGTTGCACAATTACTACAACAACCAAAACCGAGGAATCAACCTAGCGTTTGGCTTTTTAAGAAGGGGAATAAAGAACATAGCAATCAACAACGTGCCAATATGGCAGGATATTCAAGTATTAAAGATTTTATGTTAGGTAAATAAATTATCACTAAAAAAATCTTAAATTATATGAGAATTTAATTTTTTTGAAAGAGAAGATGGTCCTCACGAATCCCTTGTCAGTCAATCTAAGATCTCAACCCTTGTCTTTTACGCACCAAAGAGATTACAATGCCCGAGTCTACATTAAAGATGGTGATGGGAAATGAAACAGGCATGCACCAGAAAGAATATGTCTCCATGCAACAAAAAACCAGTGTCCTCTGTCCCACACCCTTGATCTGCACGTTCATGGATGGCGAAAACAAAAAGAAGTTGAAATTTTAGTCAAATCACCTCAAAAGTCATTCACTTATACCAGTTTCATTTGACTTGCGGATAAAAGATCCCAAAGTTTCCTGGTTGAAGGAACCTGGCCTGGCCGTGATCAAGACTCGGAAGCTTCATTGAGAAATAAAGAGGAAAAAGAGAGATCTTGAGTGCATTCGATTTTCATTGGCCCAGTGACAAAGTTACCATTGACTGGTTTGAGCTTACCGTGCTCTTCACTTGTAAAATGCTTTTGAAATATCATGCCATTACCAATTAAAATTAAAGGGTACGCCGCCACTGTTCACCGTTAACACGTGTTGAGATACTGTTACAGATAACAAACTTAATATTTTAATAAATAATATTTAAAAATAATATTTTATTAAACACAAATTGATGATTGATTTTTTTTATATAGAAAACTTATTTTAATACTTCAGAAAAAGACAGGATCCACGTGATGTTTTAGTTACTATATAATTTTTATTTTCATAAGTTCATCTCTCCACGCGCCATAAACGGTAAGCTAAAATACTTGTTTGTCAGATGATCCAATGAAATTGGAGCGTGTAGAGCACGATATTACGTTAATTTGTTTGTTTGTATTAACGTAGTGCAAGGTGGAGAACGTCGTTTCTGAAACAGTAAATTTCCAGAGAGAGAGAGGCATTGCCAGTCACCGGTCACCTCAAAATTCAAAACTTTCTCTCTTCATCCAAAAAACACGCAAATTGTTTTCTCTTCATTTTCCATCGATCAATCGAAAAAGAAAAAGGGAAGGAAAAAAAGCTTAAAAAGAGAAATTTACAAATCCAAGCCCTGACTTTCTCGTGTTCTCTCATCTCACACACTTCCTTCGATCCTGGTAGCTCGTCTTCAATTTTAAATTTTTTGATGCGAAGAACAAAATCCCAGTTTTCTCCCTCAACTTCCGCAGCTTAGCACAGAAACCTAGAAACTCTCATTTCGATTTTGATTAGGAGCTTTAATTGGGGTTCAGTGTTTGGAATGCTATGCTTATTCACGATGTGCTGACTTTTGCGTGAATATCCTGTTGGTCCAGATCTAAATGAATGATCGTATTTGATCTCGGGAATTACCGGCGAGAAGTTCTGGTGGCCGTGATATTGTAATATTTTGTTTTAGGTATTTGGGGGTTTTATTTGTAGATTTATTTTTGATAAAAGAATGGTGTAGCTTAATATCAGGTTTATCTTCATTAAAACTAGCTGTCTTTTTTAACTTTGGATTTGGCGTTAGCTGATGATGATGAGGCTGTGATTATGGAGCATTTAAGAACTTGTGTTTGGGATAAGATATACGGGAATTGATTAGCAGATTCAAAATTTTGAGTTCTTGAGGAGTGAGTTTCTTGGAGAGGCAGCTAGAGCTAAACTGTTTTGAAGAGTATTTTGTATATACTCATCTTTAAATTTGTGTAGAAATGAGCTTAGAAAATGAAGAACAGAATTCATTAGGTCCGCCTGCGGATATCAGTAAGGAATCTCAAAAGTAATAAACTTTTTCTGCTGAATAATTAATTTTTGTTTAATTTTTTGCATATGTTTTCGGTTGAGTGACGCTGATAATCAATTTGTTTTTTAATGATTCAGGAAATACAGAATTTCATATACCAGAGATTTTTTGCTTTCATTTAGTGAACTGGATGTTTGCAAAAAGTTACCCCCAGGATTCGATAAATCAACTTTGAGGTGAGATTGTGGTCATGGATTATGGACTTCATTTAATTATGAAAATGAGGAAGGCAAAATTAGATCATTTTGGTATTCATTGGTTATTTTGTGGTTGGGACAGTGATTTTGAGGATACGTCACAAGATCGTCAAAGAATTCCTGGCACCTTCTCAGGTTACAGGCATAATGAATATAGTTCATCACCACCTACAAGAGGGGAATCGGGTAATTATTCCCGGGGTCTTCATGGACGGTGGGACAGTCGCTCCAGTGGAAAGAGTGATAGAGATAGTGATACCCAATCTGATTGGGACTCTGGTAATGTTTATAGTTATTTTGTTCTATCAATAGTATTATTTTGTGTTTACTGTTTTTATGGACAACTTTGTGCATTGTATTTTCTGTTAATACATGTGGTGATTCACTCTATCACTTCAACCTCAACAGTGCTTGGCAAAACTATTCTTGTAGTCGGGGTTTTATCCACTTTATTTATGTGTTGTTTACAGCACCAATAAATTCTATTACATTTGAAATTGAATGATTCTAATGGTATATAGATCATGGACGACACCATGGTTATCAATCCCGTCGATCTTGGCAAGGTCCTGAGCATGATGGGCTTCTGGGGAGTGGTTCTTTTCCTCGACCTTCTGGATTTACAGCAGGAGCTTCTGCGCCAAAGTTTCGAGCTAGTGATCAATACCATCTAAATAAAAGTAATGAGCCATACCATCCACCCCGCCCTTATAAGGTACTTGTTTGTCTTTGTTATCATTTGCAGACAATATTTAGATTGGTATCATGATCGCTGTGTCATTCAATTTAGCATAAAAATATATCTGAAGTATTCTGCTTAAATAGTATCTGCCTGATTGTAAGATGATCCAGTAGCAATTGAAATATGGTTTTGATAGATGTTATTTTTGTGATGATATTTTTCCAGGCTCTACCTCATTCAAGGAGAGAAACTAATTACTCTTTTAATGATGAAACATTTGGTTCCATTGAGTGCACTAGTGAAGATAAGGCAGAAGAGGAAAGAAAAAGAAGAGGTAGGTTCTCTGTTCTAGAGAACTCTCTGCTGATTGTATTTTATTTTGTATGTGTTTTATCTTCTACCACTGCTCTGGTTTTGTTTTCTAATAATAAAAGCTAAAACATTATGACTTTCCCTTTTAGCTTCCTTTGAGTCATGGAGGAAGGAACAGCAGAAGGCATTCCAGGAGAAGAAGATTAATCCTGAAAGACGTAAAGATGACTTCGATCTTTCTGAATTGCTAGTGGACTCCAAAGATGATAAAGGACCTGCAAACAGAAGCATGGAATCAGATGAACCTATTCTGGCATCAAATATTGTTTCAGAAAAATCGTCTCATCCCGTACAAACTCCTGCTTCCAGACCGCTTGTACCACCTGGTTTTGCAAGTACAGGATTGGAGAAGACTTTTGGAACCAAAACTTCAATGCAACCCCGTTCTTCACAGGTTAGTATTACTGTGGTTTTCAGAATTTAAACACCCATTATGTTATCTTTTTTACCTTTTGGCATGTGATTTTGATTGTAAGTGTCAGTAGTTGGTTTTCAAAGTTTTCGTCCTTTTTTTGCCATCGCATGATCTTTAATTGCAACATTGAATCAACTATTTGATCTTCATGTACTGGCAGCTTCCCTAGTTATAACATAACAAGAATAAACTTGGGAATCGGTTGAAAATATGGAGGCAATTTTGAAATTTCTGTTATTTTGGTTGGAATGGGGAGAAAAACCAATTTATCACTTGAGATCAGCACATGAAATTGACCTTATATAACTAAAATTAGTGGGAATTTTTGGATCTTTTTCCTGTTCATTTTGATTTGACTGGAAAAGACGTGTTGCCTTATACTTTGTAGATGTCTGTATGACACCAATAGTACAATTGCATAATTGAGACGTTGACAGAGATGATTTATTTTTTGTAAGTCACTTAATGGAAGTATAGGTTGGACAAAGGTTACATTGTGCTCTGCTTTAAAGTTACATGTTATTCTGTTCCTTGTTTCTGCCTATATGTTAATATACTGATAGAACAGAGCTTGCATGTGGTTTTCATTCAGTAGTTGTACTTTTCATATTTGTAACTCAGAGATGATTCTGTTAGGACAAAACATGTTTCAATTATACCAACTGACGTTTCGTTTCATATTTATCACATAACTTCTTTTCTGTTGCTTGATTAGCAATGTATATTCTGTTATGCTTCTATAGGTTGGGAGTTCTGAGATTGAAGGAAACCTTTCGGAGTCCAAAGGCAGCCTTCTCTTTAATGGGATTTCTGATGATCTTCCAGCCAAACAGTCTAAACAGCATGAAGAGGAAACTTCAAGTGAACAGAGGCTTGAAAGTAAAATCATTCACCTTTTAGACAATAATAAGAGTGCAAAGGCTCCAAATTTCTCATCAGCTTTAGATAATGAGACAATAAGCAAGGACTCTCGTATATACAATAGTTCTTGTCTTTCAGAAGCCTTTGTAGCCCCAGAAAGCATTGGAGTTACTGAACTTGATTCCAAGAAGCTAGCAGCAGATAAAATGTTGACTGAAACCAGTCAAAATGGTTCAACTTCAATTCTAGACAAGATTTTTGGCAGTGTTGTAATAGCAGATGGAGGTGGCTCAACTAATTTCACTGAGGTACTGTTTTGGTTTTGAGACACTCATTCAAATTCAAACACATATATAGAAGACGTTGACATTGAATCACTTCAGTTGAATGTTCATTTCTAAATTCTAATTCCCTTGCTCAATGTAATTAAAACTAGGTTGATCAATGACCTATACATCTTATTTACATTTAGTTTCTTTAGGTACTTTATTTTAAACCCGTCATGTCTAGTTTTCCTTGATGAAATATTTGACCTTTAATATATCTTGATCTGCAGCCTAATGATAGCAATGCTGACAAGACATGGTCCCTTGACAGTTCCCATTCTTCTAAATTTGCTCATTTGTTTCTTGATGAAGGTTTGTTGGCGATTGTTACATGTAATCTGGCTTTAAGTGAATCTGCCTAGTTCTCAAGTAAACACTAATTTGAACATTCTTGTTTTAATCTTGTCTTGGCAGAGAAGAAATCAATGGATGATCTTTCCCATCACAGGCCTAAAGACTTGCTCTCCTTAATTCAGGGTGGTGAGAAAGGTGGTTCCCATGATAGGATGGTTACTAAGCATGTAGCGCCAAACTTTCCATTTCAAAACTCTGAACTTGGGGACAGACATGTTAGATCAAATTTGACGACTATGGGAATTGTGAACTCTGAGCAATCATGGAATATTAATGATGTTAATAACTCAGCAGCGGTTCCAGCAGTCCTTACATGTGAGGATCTTGAAAAGTCTATTCTGTCAGAAAGCTCTGAAAATGATCCGAGTTTGCCTCCTGTTGAAAGATGGAAAATTCCTGATGGCAAATGTGAGAAGCAAGAAGTTAATGTCAACAATCATGCATCCCAGCACCTTCTTTCATTATTACAAAATAAAACAAGTACAAACACTACATTATCATCTGCCAATGATGATATAAGGCCTTCAGAAATGGTGCAAACTACTGAAACACCAACTGGTGACATGGCATCTTGTCATTCGATATATACAAATACAGAAAATGCTTCTGGTTCAGGTAAGAGTCCAACTCTTGAAGCACTTTTTGGAAGTGCTTTCATGAAGGAACTACAATCAGTTGGAGCACCAGCTTCTGTTCAGAGGGGTTCAATAGAGTCTGCAAGAGTTGATGGATTTGAATCTAACAGGCTTCCCCTTAACGTCGCAGATGATATCATTCTCCCATCCACTGATAACCCTGTGTCAAACAGGACTAATTTTGAAAAAAATCTTTTACCATTTACTCAAAGAGAACAAATGAAAGCTGATGGCATTGAAGGGCATTTATTAGGCTTTAATGGTGCTCCATCTGCAGTGGAATCGTCACATCTCCGAGCTGGATTAGGATCTAAACTTGGTGGTTTTGATGGATCTGCTGAAATTGGGCTTACTGAAGGGGACAGTTTGCTTGGTGTTGGTAATCCTGTGGAACTCCAGAATTTCATGGCTGGTAGTGTAAAAGCAGAGTTATTGCCCTCCCAAGAGACACCTAATGGTGTAGCTGAGAAACTTGCAGCTTTAAAGGCTGTCTTCCAGGATGAAAGACCTGTTGTTGGAGGGAAAGAAGGTCCAACTTTTCTTCCCGGTCCCTATGATATGAGGGAGCCAGATAGTCCATTTCGTAACCAAATTATCCATGCATCTTCTCAAAACCTTCATCCTCAGTTGAATCATGGAGGTCCTTTGTTTCATTCATTAGATTCACATCCTTCTAACATCAGTTCTCAGATGAAGTTCATGGCTCCAGAAGGCATCATCCATCATGATGCCCCACTAAATCATCAATTTCCTGCGACTATGTTTCGTCCTGTCCATCATCATAGCAGTGAACTACCTGGATTTGATCCTCCAATTCATCATCCTATGTTACAACAAATGCAGATGCCTGGAAACCTCCCTCCACTGAACTTGCAACGAGTATTTCCTGGTGTTGCACAGTTGCCACCTCATTCAAATAATGAGATGACTGGTATTCTACAAGAATTGAATCCAATGCTTGGTTTTCCATTGGGGCATGGTCACCGGCAGCACCAACCCAACTTTGCTGGTCTTGGGATGCCTCCAGGTAATCATTCAGAATCTTGTTTCTTTCTCATCCTTGCCAATTTCAAAATTTTGGAGAACCTGACCCATTTAATTCTTGGAAAAGCCTACAGTAAATGTTACCTAATGTCTTTAGGCTTAAGGTAATTTAAGCAGTTTGATCTGACCACATCTAAACTGTTAGCACTTCACAAAAAGTTTACCTTATTCAGGATCCCCCAATTCTGTTGGAAAAGCTAACAGAAATTTGCCAGTAGTCTATTGTGGGTTGTCTTGTATTATGAACTACCATCGCCAAAATGGTTATGTTTCACGTTTTCTGTGTGAATACTAGGTACATTATTGTCTGTTTATTATTGCAGGTCATGACGTTGCCAGGATGAGCCCTTTCAGTGCGTCTGGCCGTAGCCAAGGCCAAGAGATTTATTGTCACGAGCTAGACATGGGTTTTCAGTCTAGATAATGGCTTCTTGTGGTTTTGCCTTGTCCCCCAATGGATTGTTTCTCTCCGAGAATTATGGGCTTGATTTTCTTAATTATGGAGGGATTATTATGGCTTACTTTAATTAAAACGATCATTATCATACTTGAAATTGGTATTTTGGTTGCAATTGCTCCTTTGTTCCTTCTTTTGTTTTCTGTCTTTCTGGTATATTATTATTCTAAGCAAGCTCTTAAGAAATTGAATGAACGATTGAACCAAGCCTCACAATTTTATCGGCATATAGAACCTATTCAAATGCGACTGTTATGTTACAGCTGAATTTTCTAGCCGCTCCAGTTGAAACAAAATTAGGGTAAGAACTAAAAAGAAAAACAAAATATAGGGAATGATATGTTGCACAGGATGACTTGATTTAATTAGAGAAAAGGGAACACAAATAGCATATGTTGGTTACGGAATGTTTGGAATGATATGCTGTTCTCTCTTTCTCATTCTATTCAATCTTCTAGGGTTTTAGTTTTGTCTTGGCACCAAATAAACATGGTTTTCAATGCTGATGATGCTTCCCCCACCCGAAAACAAATAAATAAGATAAAATAAAGAAGAAACAAATCAGTAAAGAAAGCTTTACAGACCGTTCTGGGGAATTTGTGGGAAAACACAAACTTGGAAGATTAAGCAAAACAAGAAGAAAAGATGATAGAAAGTGGGCAATAGAAAAGTTTGCCCCCTAAATCTGTTGACACTCTAATCAAGCCACCGAGTTACCCCATCATCCTCCCCCACAGCTGCCAGAATCTCTATGCGCACATCCAAAACCGCCTGCCATTTTAAGTGGTGGAACCAAATCAAAATGAAAGCTAGATAACAGGGAGAACAATCTACGGTAAGACAATGTGCTAGTGTGTGTGTGTACATATTCGACTCTCACTTTTAAATCCGGGTAATATAGCTAAGGATTAAGGCAATCATATGCTAGTCACAGTACACAGATGCTTGGCCACTTTGGGAATCCTTCTCAAATGCTCCGAACAATTAAAACTAAATACCCAGGAGGGCAATTCATAGCTGCCACCCAATTCGTAGCTGACAGCACAATGAGGATTACAGAAATGATAAAAACTTACTGAAGGATTTCTGCAATTGACCAGCCTACATTCCTCTAAAGGACCTTGCACCATCCAATTCTCCCAAACATCAAAGCTGTGACTAGCAAAGACGAATTCCGTTCTTCTATTGATCTGGCATCAGAATATGGAACATTAAAATCTGACTTTATGAAAAGCAGAAACTTAGAATGGATCTGAAAACAAGAATAAAGAATTCTCACTACACAACTGCCTCAGGTAGCATACTTATTTATATCCCAAAGACGCAACATTCTTTGAGATACATTGATACTGAATCTATCAATTTTTTCCCTTTTGAAATGTCTATTTACTTCATGTAAGATATGGATTTTGATCTCACAACTTTGTTTTTATAGGAAACTGCAACAGAAAAACAAGTATGCTCTTTTGGGACCAAAAATAAAGCCATCGCCATATCTTAGCTGATAATGTCACAGTAATTGCATTATTCTCGTGATAAGGTAAAACCAATTCGATTAGGTTTTTAAGCAAAGAATCAATCAAAAGATAGAAAAAGATTTATAGTAAAGTCAAGCTTAGAAAGGCGCTCCATAAATCTGTAAAATGTAAAGTTACCTGCAGCAACTTCCCACCAGCAGCAAAAGAACGCAGACCGATAGTGTCCTGGAAAAATTGCATAAAACTTTAAGCTAGAGTTACCAAAAGCCCAAGAACTATAGTTCATTAACGAAAACAACCCACCAAAATAATTTTATGTCAAGGCAATGATGAAAGTACGGATCAACTGGAAAAATGATAAATTCCTCTCAACAAACCTTGTTTCTATAAACAACAAGGAACTGTGCTGCAGGATCTCTTTTAGTTACATTTGACATGGTATCTAGGAACCAACCACCACCTTTAACTCTTTGTCTGGACAGGTGGAGTGCAGGACGATCTCTTGCGTACATAGCTATAACATATCCCTCCTTTAGCATATCACAAGACTGTCCACTTAGGTTCTTGCTAGTTTTAAGAAGCTGGTCAGAAGTAGACCCTTGCGGTAATTCTTTAAGTGTTTTCCTACTTCTCAAATCTCCAGGAGAGCGAGAACCAGAACTTAATGCTTGATCTGTGCCACTCATAGCAGTGTCATCTTCTCTTTGTGAAGTACTTTCTCTCTCTAATATTAAGGGCTCATCTGATTTTTGTAGTGTACTTTGACGGGCATGCCTCTTTTTTGCTTTTTTACCTGCTCTGCTGCGTTTTGAATCCGATTTAGTTGCAGTACCAGAAGACATACCAGAACGCTGGTTTTGATTAGGATAATCCTTAGATTGTTTGGTATCCTTTTGAAGGGAAATTTCAGGACTTTGCTGAATATCATCAATCAATTGCTCACCACTAGATCCCTGCAAAGTACTTTCTTTCTCTTCTTGTATGCTAAACTGTCCTTTTTCATCAACTATTTCACTTTCTTCCTCGTCCTCATCAGAAATAGCATCCTTTGGTATAACCCCATCACAAAAGAATGTTTGCAACATAGACATAGCCTTCTCCCTTATCTCCATCCACGCTTCTTCACTATAATCAGCACTTCGAGGAAGTATCAATACATTGGGCATCTCCTTCACCTGAAGTAAAGATGTTAAGATGATTTGATTAGTTACATCTTCTGTAATCTTAGTTATGAAATATAAAATTAAAATATACTTCCTCAACACGGTTGAAATCGACTCTTACAATCACAAACTGAAAAATAATCTTTTATCTTAGATGAAGATGGTGAAGGAGAAAAATACAACAGTGTTAGTAAAAATAACATGAGTGAGAGTTAGAAAAGAAGAGAGAGATAGAGAAAAAGGTCAGTCTTCCTCCGGCGTGGGTTGGACTGCTTTCGTTGACAATCTAAGTAGGAGAGTCTCTAAAAGAGAGTTATGGAATCTTTTTCTCGACTAGGGTCAGGTGGTGAGAGTCTTCATACCAAATGTGATGAACAAACCAAAGTATAAATCTTCCACGTTTGCCTTTGTTCAGTTTGGTAACGAAGCAGGGCTGAGGAAGGCAGTCGAAAACTTAAACGGAATGTGGATTGATGGGAGGAAAGTTTTTGTTGGAGTTGCAAAATACTAGAAAGATCGACCAAGGGTTGCTGGTTCATCTCGGTCCCTAGTTGATGCTCAGGAAAAGGTCATAGATGAAAAATCTAAATTTAGTGAGAAGGCCGTGATTCCGAGAAGTACAAGAGATGATAGATCATATAAAGATATCTTGTTGTTGAGCAGTTCGCAGAAGAGAGTCGGAGCAAAAGGGAATCAAATATAAGAGTGTTAACAGGGGGAGAGGGAAGAAGAATATTTGGGAGATGCACATTCCTACTGAAAGTTCAAGCTGGGTGAAAAGATCTCTCACGGTATTGTTAAACATACTTTCGAATTGGAATTGGTTCAAAGAGCCTTGGTGAATGAAGGTCTTGATGTTCAAATTGCGAGCTGGGGGTATGTATGGAATTCTTGTGTTGTTATGTTCAAATCCGAGGAAACGATGAAGGACGCATGGTTGAATAAAAGTTAGGAGTTATGGTTCTGGTTCGACCGGCTGGCGCCTCTGTTGAATGAAGGTGGTGTGCCAATGGCTTACTGTCTCGAATTGGAATTGGTTCAAAGAGCCTTGGTGAATGAAGGTCTTGATGTTCAAATTGCGAGCTGGGGGTATGTATGGAATTCTGTTGTTATGTTCAAATCCGAGGAAACGATGAAGGACGCATGGTTGAATAAAAGTTAGGAGTTATGGTTCTGGTTCGACCGGCTGGCGCCTCTGTGAATGAAGGTGGTGTGCCAATGGCTTACTGTCTGGTGAGTTGTATGGAGTTCCTTTGTTATGTTGGCAACAATATTTCCTAAAGAAGTTAGCAGGAAGGTGGGGATCATTGGAGGGCATTCAGGAATCGAATATTACCAGGGAAGATCTCACGACGGTGAAAATTTTGCTAAGGGTGGCAAGTCTGTTTGACGTCCCGGAAGTGTTAACCTTAGGCTCCTATGGAAGATCTTTCAAGGTGACTACAAAGCTGGGATCTACTTCACTGGTCTCAAACTCCTTTCTTGCAACACGCCGAAGAAATTTTCCGACGAAAAACGCACAATCATCGAGTCGTCAGAGGAGGAAGATGTCAGCTCACAATCCTCTGACATGTCAGGTCCAGTTCGGCTTGTTGAGGAAGCTCGTCAGAAAGTTGACATATGGATTGACCAGGGATTTTCTGCCGGGGTTGGTGTAGCAGGTAAAGAATTTCAGTTTTCAAAAAGAAGCTTGGAAGGGAAAGGCATTAATGAGGGCGTGTTAGATTTTCATAGCTTGGGGAGTAGTAAAAAGGGTGAATATGCTGGGCTGGGCATCAGAAATAAGGAGGATAAAAAAGGAAGCTTGCAGGCCCAATCAGAAAGGAGCAGTGAACCTTTTTCTCCAATAAAGAGATTAATTCCTACTGGCCCGGCAATAGACCTTATTGGGCTCAGGTATGATAATCAAAAACAGAATCTTAATTCTCTAAACAGATCAAGGGATGGAGACAGAGTTATGGGAAATCTAGGTATTTTTTCAGATGAGGTGGGCATCAAGGATACAGCAGGGATTGATGGTGAAGTGGGGACTGCAGAAGGCTTAAAGTTGTTTAGTACAAGAGCTGGTTCACAAACTCGGTATGCTAGTTCTCTATCCATGAAGAGTGCCCCGGTTGGTAGAAAGTTAATTAAAAGTCGTAAGAGATTTTATAGTAGGTCCAGGGAAAGGAATATATGGTTGGATGTATCAGGAGGGGAGGGCAGTAATAAGTTAGGTATGGTATTAATTCCAAGAGGGTATCATTCTCAAACTCCAGAGGCTGCTATTCTTACAGAAGGGGATAGTGATGATTCAAGGGGGAGGAGCTTTAACAGGAGAATTAAAAGATCCCTTATTAAGGATGCTTTAGATCATGCTAGTGTTTCTACATTATCCTCATCAGCTTTTCCATTGCTGTTGGAGGAAGCTATTGCTACATGGGAAATTAGCAGGATATTGGGTATTTCTCTCAAGGAAGGGAAGAATGCTTTTCTACAGAAAATAATGGATTTGGAGAAAGGTTTGAGTCGGGCTAGATGAGTCCGTAGGTGATTTCTGGGATTGTTTTGGTAGTTTCATACAATAAAATGATGCCAAAGCTATTTATTTTGTCGTTGAATGTTATGGGACTGGGAAAAAAGAAAAACAGAGAGATGTACAAAAACTAGTTTCCGAGAAAAAACCAATGTTTCTTTTTCTACAAGAAACTAAACTAGAGATTTTACCAAGATCCTTTTTAAGAAGAAGTGGGTTGAATAAGTTGCAAGGATTCGTTGTGTCACCAGCAGCAGGTTCTTCGGGAGGTATTTTAAGTTGTTGGGATGATAATTGTTTTGAGCTAGAAGACCAGTTTATCCATAGGAGGTTCATTGTTGTTTTCGGGAAATTCAGATCCAACCAATTTAGGTGTGGCTTTATAAACGTTTATGGTCCGTCTTTTGAAGATGAAAAGGCTGATTTTTTTAAAGAACTGGGACTGTTTCTGAATGGGTACAATATGCCTTTATGTGTGGGAGGGGACTTTAATGCCTACTTAACAGAAAATGAGAAGGTAAATCTCAAAATAGAAATTCTTTGGAAATTTTTAGTCTATTTATTCAGCAAACGGGGCTAATTGATTTGCCTTTGATTGGAGGGAATTTTACCTGGAGTAGTAATCGAGATTTTCCCATTGTTGTTAGGTTGGACAGGTTTCTGATGAATGTCAGTTTCTCTTCAGCATTTTCTGGTATCAACCAAACGTTACTGCCTAAATCTATTGTAGGTTATGCAATAGATAAGTTAGTATTTTAATATAACACTAACTCTTACAAAGTTTGATAGATAAGGATAACTACTAAGTAGTTTACTTCTAATAGAAAACTTACTCCTAACTTTTCCTATAAAAAGATGTATTTTCACCATTCACAATATATAATAAAAAGAGTTCCTTTTCTTCTCCACTATGTTGTTTACTCTTTATCAACATGGTATCAGCTAAGTGATCGATCCTTCACCTAAATCTAGCCTATTTTTTTTCTTTTTTTACCCTAAATCTAGCCGTCGATCATGAATTCCAACACTTCTTCATCGGAGGTCACTTCGGAAATCCTCATTAATTCACCCCATTCTGATGTTTCTTCAGCCTCTATCACCTGTCACCGATTGAATGGTGACAATTATATCCCTCACTCTCAAACTACTACTCGGCCAAAGAAGGGGAGACCTTGGTGTGACTATTTTCAATCCAAATGTTTCATTCTGACAATGGTAGTGAGTATTTTGCCAATGTTTTGGGTTCTTTCTTTCAGGAAACCGGGATTATTCATCTTACTTCGTGTGTCAACTCTCCTCAACAAAATGGGATTGCTGAGCGAAAAAACAAGCATCTTCTTGAGGTTTCTCGGTCTCTACTTTTTTCCACAAATGTTCCTAACTATTTTTGGGGGGAAACCCTTTTAACTGCCACTTATTTGATTAACCGTCTCCCTAGTAAACCGTTACAATTTAAGTGTCCGAGAGATGTTTTTCTTCAGTTTTTTCCCAATTTTAAACCGATGACTTCATTGTTATCCCTTAGAGTTTTTGGTTGTACTGTGTTCGTTCATAACAATGTTCCTTTCAGGTCTAAATTAGATCCTCGAGCATTTCGGTGTGTTTCTGGGTTATTCATCGACTCAAAAGGGCTTTCGGTGTTATTATCCTCGTACAAAGAAATTCTTTATTACTATGGACGTTACTTTCTTTGAAAAAAACACTTTTTTTCCTTAAAACTGCTATTCAGGGGGTGTAATATAATGAATATCAGTTTATTGACTCACAAAAATTGTCACTTGATTTGTAGCCAGCTCTTTTTGATCAACCAGCACCGTCAAACCAGTCGAATAAGCCTACAAATCGCTACAGCCAGACCAAACACACTACCGAACCCAAAAAATGATTTGTCGATTGCTCAAAGGAAAGGAGTGAGAAAATGCAGAAATTATCCAATTGAGAGATTTGTTGCATATGGACAGCTAACGCCTTGTTTTAAGAACTTTACAACAAGTGTAGATAGCATTACTGTTCCAGATACGGTGGAAGAAGCATTGAAAGATCCCAAGTGGAAAAAGGCAGTAGAAGAGGAATTAAAAGCACTGGAAAACAACAATACTTGGATTATAGTTGATCTTCCGAAAGATAAAAAACTAGTCGGCTGCAAATGGATATTCACGGTAAAATACAAAGCTGATGGTAGCATTGAAAGATATAAGGCGAGATTAGTGGCGAAAGGATTCACTCAATCTTTTGGAGTTGATTATCATGAAACGTTTGCTCCAGTAGAAAAACTAAACACTGTGAGAGTGTTACTGTCATTAGCAGTTAATGAGAATTGGGTGCTTCATCAGTTAGACATCAAAAACGCATTTCTAAACGGAAACTTGGAGGAGGAAGTATATATGCGAATTCCACCGGGTATGAAGAGTAATACAAGAAAAGCATGTAGATTACTAAAGTCCTTGTATGGACTTAAGCAATCTCCAAGAGCCTAGTTTGACAGATTTACAAAGGT